TTGGATAGGCATTGTTTAAATATGGTTTTGTCATGAAATATCTTGTTTTTTCTGACTATGGTGATTGAAAGCTTTACTGGGTATAGTAGTCTAGGCTAGCATCTGTGGTTTCTTAGTGTCTGCAGAACATCTGTCAAGGACCTTCTGGCTTTCAGAGTTTCCATTGAGAAGTCTGGTGTAATTCTGATAGGTCTGCCTTTATATGTTACTTGGCCTTTTTCCTTTGAAGTTCTTAATATTCTTTCTTTATTCTGTATGTTTACTGTTTTGATTATTATGAGGCGAGGGGACTTTTTTGGGGGGAGGTGGTCCGGTCTACTTGGTGTTCTGTAAGCTTCTTGTACCTTCATAGGCATTTCCTTCTTTAGGTTGGGGAAGTTTTCTTCTGTGATTTTGTTGAATATACTTTCTGTGCCTTTGAGCTGGAATTCTTCTCCTTCTTCTCTCCCTATTATTTGTAGGTTTGGTCTTTTCATGGTGTCCCAGGTTTCCTGGATGTTTTCTGTTAAGAATTTGTTGGATTTAACATTTTCTTTGACTGATGAGTCTATTTTTTTTATTGTATCTTCAACACCTGAGATTCTCTCTTCCATCTCTTGTATTCTATTGGTATACATAAGTGACCCTGAAAAATTCTATCAGGGAATTCCTACAGCTGATAAACCCCTTCAGTAATGTGGCAGGATACAAGATTAACTCAAAAAAATCAGTAGCCATCCTATATACAAATAATAAATGGGCTGAGAAAGAAATCAGAGAAACATCACCCACTTACAATAGTCACAAACAACATAAAAAAGAAAGCATCTTCAATAAATGGTGCTGGCATAACTGGGTGTTAACTGGATGTTAGAAGAATGCAAATAGATCCATATCCATCACCATGTACAAAAATCAAGTCCAAATGGATCAAAGACCTCAACATAAATCCAGTTACACTGAACCTGATAGAAAAGAAAATGGGAAGTAGCCTTGAACACATTGACACAGGAGACCACTTCCTAAATATAACACCAGTAGCACAGACACTAAGAGTAACAATTAATAAATGGGACCTCCTAAAACTGAAAAGCTTCTCTAAGGCAAAGGACATAGTAAATAAAACAAAATGATAGTCTAGAGAATGGGAAAAGATCTTCACCAACCCTACATCTGACAGAGTGCTGATCTCCAAAATATATAAGGAACTCAAGAAACTAGACATCAAAATACCAAACAACCCAGTTACAAAATGAACTACAGATATAAACAGAGAATTCTCAACAGAAGAAACTCAAATGGCTGAAAGACATTCTAGGAATTGCTCAACATACTTAGCCATCAGGGAAATGCAAATCAAAACAACACTGAAATACCATTTTACACCTGTCAGAATGGCTAAGATCAAAAACACTGATGACAGTTTATGTTGGAGAGGATGTGGAGCAAGGGGAACACTCCTCCACTGCTGGTAGGTATGTAAACTTGTACAGTCACTCTAGAAATCAGTACGGCAGTTTATTAGAAAAAAATGGGAATCAATCTATCTCAAGATCCAGCAATATCACTTTTGGGCATATACCCAAAAGATGCTCAATCATACCACAAAGACACTTGTTCATCTATGTTCATAGTAGCATTATTCATAATAGCCAGAACCTGAAAACAACCTAATGCCCCTCAACCAAAGAATAGATAAAGAAAATGTGGTGCATTTACACAATGGAGTATTACTCAAAGGTAAAAAAAACAATGACAACATGAAATTTGTAGGCAAATGGGTGGAACTAGAAAAAAAATCATCCTGAGTGAGGTAACCCAGACCCAGAAAGACAAACATGGTGTGTACTCACTCATATGTGGATACTAAATATGAAGCAAAGGATAGCCAAACTACAATCCATAGCTCCAGAGAAGCTAGGTAACCAGGATACAATCCACAACCCTAGAGAAGCTAGGTAAAAAGGAAGACCCTAAGAGACATGCATGGAGGGCCCCAGAAAGGAAAATAGTTAAGATCTCCAAGATAAACTGGGAGGGGAGGTATAAGGGAGGGGATGGTGGCTAGGAATATGAGGGATAGAGATGGCCAAGTTGGGGGAGGGACAGAGAGGGAGAGCAATTAAAGAGATATCTTGATAGAGGGAGCCATTATAGGCAAGGGAGAAACCTGATGCTAGGGAAATTCCCAGGATTCCACAAGGATGGCCCCAGCTAAGACTCCTAGCAACAGTAGAGAGGGTACCTGAACTGGCCTTTTGCTGTAATCAGATTAGTGACTACCCTAATTGTCATTATAGAACCTTCATTCAGTAACTGATGGAAGCAGATGCAGTGATCCACAGCCAAGCAATGGGCTGAGCTCCTGGAGAGCAGTTGAAGAGATAGAGGAGGGATTATATGAGCAAGGGGGGTCAAGAGCATGATGGGGAAAACCACAGAGAGTTCCCACTAGCTGACCCAAGCTAGTGGGAACTCACAGACTTTGGACTGACACCTACAAAATCTGCATGGGACCGAATTAGGCCCTCTGAATGTGGGTGACACTTGTGAGGCTTGATCTGTTTGTGGGGCTCCTGGCGTGGGATCAGGAATTATCTCTGGTGCATGAATTAGCTTTTTAGAGCCCATTCCCTATAGTGGGATACCTTGCTCAGCCTTGATGCAGGGGGGAGAGGCTAGGCCCTGCCTCAACTTGGTATGCCAGACTTTGTTGACTACCCAAGGGAGGCCTTACCCACTCTGAGTAGTAGATGGGGGTGGGATGTGGAGGAGGTGGGGAGGTGGGAGAAGGGGAGGGAGGGGGAACTGGGGATAGTATGTAAAATGAAAAAAAATTAATTAAAAATATAGCCTATTTGGTAACAGGGGCACTGCATCTCAATAATAGATATTACATATATAAATGTGTGTGTGTGTGTGTGTGTGTGTGTGTGTGTGTGTGATAAACTATGTAGCTTATAAACAAATGAAATGTGCTCAGTTTTAGAGACAAAGAAGTCCAGAGTCAAGATGCCAGTAGATTTACTGTAGGATAACAAAGCCTAGCTCTCTAAACTAAAGATTTTACCTTCTGTTATCAAGATAAACAATGGTGCTCATGATACTTCAACCTCCTAACAGCTCCAACGTTAATTTCACATTGGGTTTCAATATATGAGGCAACTTAGATAACACCTATGATTGACATTCAAGTCAATCAACTCATTCATCTGTGTCTTTCCCAAGTGGTGAGTGGTGCAATTTTTTTTTTTAATGAGAAGTGGGTCTGGACATATTCATTAGTCCTTCAAGACTGAAAAAGTGTATATAGTGTGTTAGTGTGTTAATGTGTTAGTGTGTGTGTGTCTGTGTCTGTGTCTGTGGAGAGGTCTATGGGGGTCTTGCGGGGGAGGGGGGGCATCTGTGTGTTGATGTTCCTGTCTCCTAAGGTTTGTTCTTATTACCAGGGACTGGAAATACTATGTAATACATATTTGCATGCTTAGGACATCTGTGAATATGTGTCTGTGAGTGTGTCCTGGAAGTGGAGTGTGGTATTAGAAGGTCCAGAAATGTCCAGGGGAAGAGATGCCTGTTCCCTGTCCTGAGCACATCTGCCCCCCTGGACCCTTGTGACACTACTGCTTCATCTGTAGTTTCATTGTCATCCTTACCTTATCGTTGTCACTAATACCATTCATGTCACTTTATGCTATTTTGCAAAGCCGACAAATTGTATTCAATTTGCCCCTGGGTTCTTCCGTTCATTTGGTTGTGGAACTGAAGTAGGGGAAGTACCTGGCAGGAAGGGCTGGGACCACAGATTGCACAAGAGTGCACTGTAGCCCTTGCCAATTGGAGGTGGCAGGAGAAGGCATGACTGTTTTGTCAGAGGAGCCAGAAAAGAACCAAGGAGGAAGTCCTGCTGTGCCAGGCTGTGAATCCCCCTGCTGGGGGCTGGAAGTTAGAGTCAAGTTCTCAGAGGGTACTAAAGGCTGTCTGACGTAGATCATCACACCACTTCCTCCAGGAAATCAAACTGAGCCAAGGTGCGAATTCCTGATTCTGAACTCATTGATGCATCTCACCAGGGTTCTCTATGATTCTGAAACTCCCATTTATAGACCCATATCTCTAGCTTTTCCACAGGCTCCAAGAGCCCAGATTGTCCTCAGTGTTGGAGACATCAGTGCTTCGTGAAATGTTATCAAGTCAGGGTAAAGAGTGGTAAGATGCCTAAGTGAGTAAAGAGACATCCAACAAAGCCTGGAAACCTGAGATGGATCCCCAATAGTATTCTACATGGTGGGAGGAAAGAACTGACTCCCAGAAGTTGCCTCATGACCCTCACACACATGTCATAGCATGTGAGTACCCACACACCTACATACACACACATTAAATTATTATTAAATGAATAAAACAAATAAATAAGAATGATGTTAAAAAGAGTTTTCCAAGTGCATAAAGGACTATGAAGTTGATCTGCAAAGGAGCTGGCCACTAGATGAGACACGGTATGAAACAGCCATAATCTATGGGGAGGGATCCATGTAGGGCCGATGATCACTGTAATGGTCACATTCTGAGCTTCTGCCAGTGCGCTTCTCTCCATTTGTGGCATCTTCAGTATTTACCTACTTGAAGAAGCCCTCCTGGCTTCTCCTGTTATAGCGTTCTGTCCCCTGACCTCCACAACAGCACTGACATCTGGCCAGTAAGCAAAAGAACAATGGTCATGATTTGAGAATCTAGGTTTGAGAACAGGGCTCCTGGTATCCCAGAAGAACTGCAGAAGGCACACTATATCTTTCCCGAAGGACGAAGAGCAGGACTGCAGAAGTGTGTTTGTCCTGACTGTTGGTAATAGGCTCCTGTCACTTCCTCCTTAATTCTCAGGAAGTAAAACTTTGCCCCACCCCACATGTTCTCCCACCTGCATTCCTTTTGGTCCTGTCTGGGCAGCATATATAATCTGCTTTTGGTTGTTGGAACACTGTCAATCTGAGACAGAACAGTCTCAGGCCTGCAAGTCCATCATGCCACTGGGCAGACTTCCTGGCTGGCTGAATGCTGTGGCCTGTGGACTCCTGATTATCCTCCTCCATGCGCAGGGTGAGACTCCCTAAGTGACAATGGGGACATGGATCAGAGCTGCCCAGTTTAGTTAGAGGCTAAGTTTGCAGGAGAAAGGCACCAGGGAAGGAGGAGCTCAAAGAGATGACAGATGAAAGTATGGGAATGTGTGGCACTCAGTGCCTCCACCAAAACCCACAGAGTAGGCACTTAGTACACAGAGGGTCAGAGATGTCTAAGGTTACTGCACACTGAGGAGTCAGGTCAGTATGAAGGGCTCTGAGGAGCTGAGGTCAGGAGAAGAGCAGAAGAGGCATTTCCCACCTCCATGTGTGGCTGTGACTACTCCTTGCTTTGGATAATAATAATGATAATACCTTTATGCCACCAAATGACTCTGAGTCTTTGGACATAGAAATGCTTTGGCACCCTTCAAAGAGGAAATGGGAAAGGTTCCTGGCCCTGAGGGGTAGGGAAGCTCCTGCACTCACACCCCACAGCTGAACCAGGAGGCCCTGGGTTCCCTTCCTGTGTGGCTGGTAACAACGAGGTGGGAAATCCCAAAATCTGTAGGAGCTGATTGCACAAAACTAACCCTGATGGCATCTCTCCACCCAGGTCAAGACTCATCAGAGGCCAGCCCCATCAGAAACACAAACACAGGCCAGGTCCGAGGCAGCCTTGTCCATGTGAAAGACACCAAAGTTGGTGTCCACAGATTCCTGGGAATTCCCTTTGCCAAGCCACCTGTAGGACAACTGCGCTTTGCACCCCCTGAAGCCCCTGATCCGTGGAATGGTGTGAGAGATGGAACCTCGCAACCGGCCATGTAAGTTCTAGACCCAGAGGATGTCTGGCCCTGGGGTGAACAGTTAGTTGCTCTGAGCTCTGAGCCATGCTGAAGTATTTCCTGCATCTCGGCTACACAGCAGTTCTGCCTGTGCTGAGGGGCATCTCCCATGCATTTTTCTGATGCATACATTAAGAATTAGAATTGAACAATTGTGCCAGGCTCCTGGGTCAGAGTTTAGCACCTGCAGAGTGTTATCTAGATCTAGGTACTACAGTGAGAAAGATCCAAACCGGTCCCAGAGTCAGATTGTGCCAAGTGAACTCTTGGAGTGGAGAGGTCTGCGGACAAAGTTCAGTGTGTTTATACTAAGCAACAAGAGCCCTGAGTCTGGTATCATGCACTACAAGTCCCTCGGGAGGGCAGCAGTGCTTACTTAGCAGCCCTACCCTGCACAGTCAGTGTGGTAACCCATAAGGTTAAGAGCCGTTGTCCAAGGAACAAGTATACAAGCTTACACTGGAAAATATGTAGAAGAAAGAGGTTCCCTGAGAGTCTGGACATGAGATGAAGGAGTTCTTACTCCCTATGGGACAACACTGTCCACTCATTCCCTCAGTCCCATTGTAGACACAGCACCCAAATAACAAAGTACCTGGGAACAATAATAGATGTGCATCTACAGTGTCCTGTTCCCTAGGGAAGACTTTTTCTCCCACTCTGAGCATTCCTTAGTTGCCTGTATCTCTTTCTGTAGTGTTGATGTTTCATGGTCTTTACCTATCCACTTCAGTATGTCTATTGATGCCATCCTTATTCAGCTCATGTTTAGGCTTTAGTGTTGGTGAGACTTTATGGGGGTGTTTTCTGATATTACTAAGAGATATAGGTCTTGATCTCTGAACATTTCTTGAGATTAGCATCTATCATTGTCTCCAGGTGTCTACAAAATGATGATATAATGAATTTAGATGGCCTGAAGAGGATAAAGCTGATCATGCCTCCCATCTCTGTGTCTGAGGACTGCCTGTATCTTAACATCTACACACCAGCTCATGCCCATGAGGGCTCTAACCTACCTGTGAGAGTTGGGCCATAGTCAACTGGGTGGGGGTGGAGATTTCTTTCCCAGGAGAATTAGAAAGGACAAAATCAACCTGAGTTCTACTGCACTGTAGACCCTGATGAGACAACTTTCCCTAGTGGGTCCAAGAAGGTTTCTTTTCAGCCATGGTGAACAACCTAAGCTATGGGTACGGAACACAGAGTACTGGAGCTTTGAGAGGTCAGGGGGCTGTGGTTCATGTACTGAGGAACGACTTACTCTACACACTTGATCCCCAGACACCCAGGCAGTTTTCCAAGGGATGAATATTGACATAAGCCAAATTTCCAGCTTGGGATATTGGTTATTTCAAAGAGATTTGCTGACCCTTTGGATTCATAATCAGAAAAAAAACTCCTTTTCCACTTTTACAGAGTCTGGTAGTGAGAGTGACATTACTCTGGACTTGAATTCATTAATCCAAACTAAGGGTCCTGGTGCAACAGTGGGACTTGGAAATATGCTGATGAGACTGTGTTCCTCCCCTGTGGCCTGGGTGTAAGAGGCTGAGGAGTCCTGGTGTGTTTAGCTGCACAGATGGGAAGCAGTCCATAATCTGGGAGGCAGTCCCACCTGAGCTTGTGTCCAATAGAAGCCTCCTGGCATCTCTCTTGACTTCTCCAGGTGATGGTGTGGATCCATGGTGGTGCTCTGGTTATAGGCATGGCTTCCTGGTACGATGGATCCATGCTGGCAGCCATTGAGAATGTGGTGGTGGTCAATATCCAGTACCGTCTGGGTGTCCTGGGCTTCTTCAGGTGAGACTAGGACTGGGCTGGGCAATGGCAGCTGAGAAGAACCTAGATAGCCCTTTGATCCATGTCTCTTCCACTTCTCAGCACTGGAGACCAGCACGCCAGAGGCAACTGGGGCTTCTTAGACCAAGTGGCTGCCCTACGCTGGGTCCAGCAGAACATCGCCCACTTTGGAGGCAACCCTGACCAAGTCACCATTTTTGGCGAGTCTGCAGGTGGCACAAGTGTGTCTTTCCATGTTTTGTCCCCCATGTCCCAAGGACTCTTCCACAGAGCCATCATGCAGAGTGGGGTGGCCCTGCTTCCTCGCCTTATCTCTAACACCTCTGAGATGGTCTTCATGGTGAGTGTCCTCCATCACCCCAGTCCTGGCTTCCTGCCTTAGCCCTGAGCCTCTGATACTCTGGTACTCTGTTCAGTGGTAAACAAGGACCATGGGAAATAGCTTCTTTCCAATAATTTCTAAGAAGTTCAAAGATTAGAATAAACTTCCCTCTACTTTATGCATGCTGAATATATTATATGGCTAGCAAAGCTGCTCCCAGCAGCTTTATCTTTGGCAAAATAATAATAATAATATTAATATGCATCGTTTTGGGAGATGACTTGGTGGGTAAGAGGGCCTCCTGTGCCAGGGTAAGGACTTGAACTCAAATCCCTAAAACCCACATAAGACTAGATGTGGTAGTACTTATCTGCAATCCCCGTGTTCCTGTGGTGAGGTGGGTAGCAGAGACAGGAGTGCTCTGAAGGTCAGCTCCATTGGTGTAGGCAGCAGCAAACAAGAGACCCTGCCTCACAAGGAGGAAGATGACAAATGATATCCAAGGTCATCCTCTGACTTTCATAGGCAAAATGTGCCACACAATACACACTGTCACCCAGGAACATGTACACACACACAAAAAAAACATGCAGATAGAATGCTCCCTTTCTCAATTGTCATCTCTGAGCAACAGGAAAATGGGAACAATTTCACATTGTACTGTAACCTGTGCAAAACACACAATATGGTGTTATATTTAAGGACAGTGGTATCCACTTGGGACTGCTAAGATACTGCTCCCTGCCGGGGAGGATAAGTCAACTCACACCTGCTCCCATTACAGACGGTGGCAAATCTATCTGGCTGTGCAACTTTGAACTCAGAGGTCCTGGTGCACTGCCTTCGAGGCAAGAGTGAAGCAGAAATTCTGGCAATTAACAAGGTTGGTAGAATTGTGTGGCTAGCAAGATAGGAGACAACAGGGTGTGTGACAAGTCCTTACTACTCTGGACAAATTACCCTTTCTGCATGGCTTGGTATCCTTTTAGTCTTGGGTACAAAATGAACACCTACATAAGCTAATTTAAGTGTAGGGTCTCTTCAAGGGTGATATGGGAGAGGTGTGGTGGGGATGACCATCTTGAGACAAATTAGGAAATAGGGAAATGATGGAGAACATTCAATGGCCATCATATATATTTATATGTGATCATGTGTGTGTGTGTGTGTGTGTGTGTGAGAGAGAGAGAGAGAGAGAGAGAGAGAGAGAGAGAGAGAGAAATCTTCAATACTGACCTTGCATGTCCCTCAGGCCTTCAGGATCATCCCTGGTGTGGTGGATGGGATGTTCCTACCCAGGCATCCTCAGGAGTTGTTGGCCTCTGCTGATTTTCATCCTGTCCCCAGCATCATTGGTGTCAACAATGATGAGTGTGGCTGGATTCTCCCACTAGTAAGGCCCAGTTCTAATCTCCCATGTGCCTGGGGTCTTATATGGTAGGCAGTGGGAGCTCAGAGATTCATTGATCTATATCCAGCCCACTTCAAACTCAAAACATTCTCCACATTCCAGATCTTCAACTCTTCTCAAACATTAAAGAAAATAACCAGAAAGACAGTGCAGGATATTCTGAAGAGCACAACATCAGAACTGTTGGTGAGAATCTGATACCTGCCCCTAATAATAAGACCTCTCAATATCCTGCTCAGAAAGCATCCCTAGAAGTGTGTGTGTGTGTGTGTGTGTGTGTGTGTGTGTGTGTGTGTGTGTGTGTGTGTGTGTGTGTGTCTGGCTGGTTGAGGTCACTCAGAGCTTTCCCCCTATACCAGACCTCATCTGCATTCCCCCATCCTAAGGATGTTGCCTAGCTATCCTAGTGCCTATCCAACCTCATTCTTCCAATCCCCTTGGTACAGATGCTGCCTCCTGAGTGTAGTGACCTGATAATGGAAGAGTACATGGGGGACACTGAGGACCCACAAACCCTCCAAATACAGTTTACAGAGATGGTGGGAGACTTCATGTTTGTGATCCCTGCACTCCAAGTAGCACATTTTCAGCGTGAGTACATCTATAACAAGATCAAGGGAGGAAGCTCAGAGCTGTGGGTCCCAGGTGAGCTCTGTAGTGTCCAGGCTTGACCTGGCTCTGAATCAGCTCTCTGGTTCCAGACAACTGAGAGCCTTTATCTAGTAAATATTTATATTGAGTGTAAGAGAATGACAACTTATCTGGGTATTGCTGAGGAAACAGCTGAATGATACTCTATTCCCCTGAGGAGGGCAGAGTCATTATTTAACATCAGGCTTTCCCACAGCCAATGGGAAAGTCCCAGGCTGGGACTCCACACTCCACTGTTGTGATTCCAAATAACGTGAGACCAAGTTATCTTGTCACCAAATGTGGATCAGCACTGTATGAGTCAGTCTGTGCTTACGTCACAATGTGTTCTTGTCCTCAGGTTTCCGTGCCCCTGTTTACTTCTATGAGTTTCAGCATCGCCCCAACTTTTTCAAGGATTTCAAGCCTCGGCATGTAAAGGCTGACCATGGTGATGAAGTTTTCTTTATCTTTGGATCCTTCTTCTGGGGTGTCAAATGTGAGTCTCCTTTGTTTTCCATGAACAGAATGGAGAACCAAGTTTGTACCTAAAGGATGTCTGAGCTTCAAGTCCAGTTTAGGAATTCAAGGCTCTGGGAAAAACAGGATCAAGTGTGTACTATCTCACAGCTCTAAAACCTCCTGTGGGTCTGGATCTTTCTTAGTTTTGCTTGTGCTAGAGGAAATGAGGATTCACTGGCTCAGGACTAAGCCTTGAGGCATTTACTTAGAGAACTAAATTGATCTTGGATGCTGAGTTGTAAGGGAGGGAAAGAAGCCTGGAATTGAGTTTTAGGCTGCAGCTGGCATGATGAGTACGAAGCATGTGTTGAGCAGCTACACTAAACGGCCGGGATCTGGACCCTTGCCCTCTCATCTGCAGTTGACCTCACTGGAAAGGAGAAGGGGCTGAGCAGGAGAATGATGAAGTACTGGGCCAACTTTGCACGATATGGGTAAGAAGATGCTCTTCTCTCAGCCTCCAAGAGTTGAGTCTCCATCAAGGGATCCATTTGTGATTGGTGATCTCATTAGCAAGCATAGATCCTACATATGATAGAGTCCTCGTACCCAAGGTACACTGAGATGGACACTTTGTAGGTGCTGGCTACTGGTCATCTCACAGTGAGCTGTGGGTGGGTCACAGTACTATAGTACTGTTCTTTAGATCTTGCCTCTGAGAAGAAGGCACAAAGCAGGCCAAGTAGCCTTCCCCCACATGGAGTAGAAACTAGCAGGTCACACTTGTATCCCTAAATTGGGACATCTGCCTCATCAGTCCCCTGGTCTGCTTAGTCCACTGCCCTGAGTCAATTGGAAGATCTGGCCTTATAGTGAAAGTGACCTCATACTTCCTTGCTCGTTGGCATATCCACAGGAACCCCAACAGTGAGGGTCTACCCTACTGGCCCATGTTGGACCATGATGAGCAGTACCTGCAGCTGGACATCAAGCCTGCTGTGGGCCAAGCCCTGAAGGCCAGAAGGCTGCAGTTCTGGACCAAGACTCTGCCCCAGAAGATTCAGGAGCTAAAAGGGGCTCATGGCAAAAACAAGAATATGTAATCCCCAATGTAAGGAAAGGTATGTGAACTTCAGTAAAGTTGAAGTTAGCCTGAGGTTCTCACAGCCCATTTAGAAGCCTACATTGATTCCAACATTCATGTAACCATAACTGATCTTTATAGTTGTCCATTTTGCCAACATGTATGACAAAAACTCTACTTATCATTCCTTACTCAAAATGCTAGACAAATTTTTACTAGACATAATCCATAAAAGCTCTCATAAAAGTGTGTGTGTGTGTGTGTGTAAGTCCCAAAGTGCATCCATCTTCTTTAACACTCCTCTGGTACTAGGCTCCTTTCTCCTCTCCTCCCCTTATCTTCTCTCCATCCTCTTCTCTTCCCCAAGAACAAAACCCAGAAAGTTTGGGCAATGTTGACTACACAGAATGGACTATATCAAAACCCCACCCTTTTCTCAGTAAGTCCCATGTTTCCACACATTTATAAGTGGCGAGTAGAAAACCTGATTACCCTAAGTCCTATTGTCTTCATAAGTCCAAGCTACTGTTCCAGTCAGATCATGAACTGACCCAGATATTGGGCCCAGCTACTCAGAACCTGAGACAGGAATATTGCATGAACCCAGGAGTTCTAGACCAGCTTGGGCAACAGAGAAAGACCTACATCTCATAAACAAGAACAATCATAAGTTGTGTAATTTATAAACAGCAGAAATGTATGTGTAATTCTGTGGACCAAGAAATATAGGGTCAGGTTGCCAGCACATCTACTGTGAGGCAAGGACTAGCTGTTTGGCCCAAAGATTACAAACTGTGTACTCCCCTTGTTGAATGTGCAAACTATGGCCCTCTGGGCCTTCTACAGGTCCCAACTCTTAATATCAACATATTAGCAATTAGGTTTCTGCAAATGAATTTGAGCCACACAGGTTTTCAGAGCTCAGCTCCTGGACCTCTCTGACATCAGTCACTGAGCATGCCAGCCTCTGAAAAACTCCTTGCAGATTGTCTCTATAGAGAAAATTTCATCTATTTCCTTCTCAATTTGCAAATGGTCCATTTTTATGGGAACCTGATTTGACATGTTCATAAATACCTCAAGCTGGGCCAGGAGTGGGGCTTGGCCAGCAGGTCCAGGTAGGCTTCTTCTAATAATAAATTTGCTCTTATTCCCAATGTGTATTTGCAGGCACTCTGAAGCCCACACTTATATGAGCATGTGACATATATGAAGACTGTCTGCTGTAGTGTGTGGCATGGATGTGAGATGGGAGAGGTCCCTGGCACCCTGACTAGCAGTTTCGACATGTATGGGAGTGTCTTCCTGTTTTAAAGAACTCCTCCTGTAGCATCCTAACTCTTCTCAATAGTCCATGTAATTAATTTTCATTCTTATGTTATTGTTGTCCTTAAAATTTTCAACCCCAGCAACTCAAGGTCTCTTGTATATTATACCATTTACAATGGTGCCAAACTGTGCCTTTTCTTTCCCCAAAATCATCTCTGTCATTGAGAGGGTGTGTCCTGTTGTCCTATTGAGTTTTGAACTTCTCATCCCTCTACCTCTGGCCAATTAACATTCCTTGGGTACCAGTTTTCCCAGGACAAAGTTCCTTTTCATTCACAGCACCTTTGGATGAAAGCGAAGATTCCTATGTTGTCTGTCCTGGACACCAAGGCACAGATGAAGGGAGTACTAAGCCCTGGCACAGTAGCTGAGCCCATAGATATTTTTGTTCATCCCAAGAAGCCCTCCTCCCATGCCATCATGCTCTGCTTTCTGTTGCTGTAGTTTGCACCTGGATGTGGCTTGGGAACACTGTAGCTCTTCCTGTCATGCCCTGTAAGAAGAATCACTGTGATCAGCTGCCATCCAGCACAATGTCCTTGAGATGAGATAAATGCTTCCATCTGTCATTAAAGAGTTCTAATCCATGTATAAAATCCTCCGTTCCTTTTATCCTCAGCAGCTGCACATCTGAGTCACTTCCGTGTTAAGACTCTTCTTTTGTTGGGAGAGGTCATGTTTTTTAGAGACAATGCTCTCATTATATAGCCCAGGCTGGGATCACATTCACCATTCTCTTACCTTGACCTCTTCAGTGTGGGATTGCAGGCAAGCATCACCAGGCTGTTTCTAAGCAATCCATTATAGACAATTCCAAACATAACTTTGTGTGACCACAGACTTTCAATTCTTTTGGTAGAAACATAGATATGACCATGTGTATGTTTAACATTGAAAGACGCAAGGTAATAGGATCACTCAGTGGGAGTAAAGGCCCTTGCTATCAAACATGATGGCCTGAGTTCGATTCCCAGGACCCACATGATAGAAGAAAAGAACGGATTCCCAGAAACATTGTGCCAAACTGTCTTCCAAAATGACTGTATCATATTTCAACCCCTTTAGAAATGTGTGAGGCACCAGTTGCTGCATATCTTGACCTGCACTGGGACCTGGGAATTGTCAATATGGTTGCATTGGATGGCTGTGTGCTTATGTCTCATTGTAGATATTCTTCTGGCCTTTGTCTTTACTTTTATTATCATTGCCATCATTTTGCTGTTCTTTCTTTGGTGGGACATGAGGCCTTGCTGTGCATTCCAGGCTGTCATTAAACTCAAGATCCACCAGCCTCTCCTTCTCAATTGCTAGTACTTGAGTTTGCCAACAGTCCCACTTTCCTGAGACTTTTAGCCACTGCCTCCATCTTCCTCTTTGTTTCTATCTCAGTCTTTCTATCTCTGACTCTGCTTCCATTTCTTTCTCTGACTCTGTCTTTCCCCACCTTCTCTCCTACATATGTAATTAATTTTTTTCCTTCAGTTGTGGTGTGGCACACTCCTGTAAACCCCAGCACTACAGAGGCTGAGGCATGGATTTATTGAATATTATTACTATAATGTGTGCACTATTAATCAGATATTAAATCATGTGCAGACAAATTGATGAAACAAGAAAATATACTGAGTGAAGTAACCCAGACCCAAAAACACAATGTGCCTCCTTGTTTGTGGGCCATAGCTCTGAATCTTTAAATGTGATTATAATAATATAAGAATATAAATATTGGAGGTATAAGTAGTATCAGAAGGTCTAGAAATGTCCAGCAGAAGAGATGCCTGTTCCATGTCCCTGAGCAAATCTACCCATGGGTAAAGGGACACATCTGCCCCCTGAGACCTCATAGATCCTCATGGAACTACTACTATTTCATTTCCTGTGGTTTCATTTTCATTCTTACCTTATTGCTGTCTCTAAACCCTCATTTATATTTTATGCCATTTTTTCCCTCTGTCATTAAGAGGCTGGTTTCTTCATTCACTAGACCCTGATATTCCCATAGATGCCTACCTATGACTAACTTGCCCCTCTAGGGTACAAGTATTCAATCCTAGGTCATCAAATTCCTTCTTCTTCCATTCATTTTGTTGAAGACCAACCACAGAAACTTTATCATCAGTAAGGACTCTTACATTGCCCACCCCAAACACCAGAGGGCAGAAGAGATGATACATTTAGCCTTGACTCTGTACCTGGGCCAAGAAGAATGCTTCCCTTGAGTGCAGGAGTGTCTGACACTTGGACTGGGGCCTCAAGGCATTGTTGATCTCCTGTTGCATACATGTATCTGTAAGGTCCCTGTTTATGCTCACATACAGGACATTTCACCAAACGACCTTTAAAATGTCAGTATCTGTATTATTTCTTAAAAGCTTTGATGTCAAATGATTCCTTTGGAACCAAATTTGCCCATTTCCCAGCATAGATGGGTAAATTTTATGTAAACTATGAGCTATGTAACCACATGCACTTAAGTATGAAACTACTTCTTGTAGCTGGAGTTTTCTCTCCAGGTTCCACCAAGCCCCAGCAGTCTGACAGTTCACTTATAAAATAAACATACAGATGCTTCTATTATTTACAAACTGTATGGCTGTGGCAGGATTCTTGCTAACTGTTCTTATATCTTAAATTAACCCATTTCTATAAATCTATACCTTGCCACGTGGCTCGTGGCTTACTGGCATCTTCACATGCTGCTTGTCATGGCAGAGGCTGGCAGTGTCTCTCTGCCTCAGCCTTACACTTCCCAGAATTCTCTTCTCTGCTTGTCCTGCCTATACTCCCTGCCTAGCCACTGGTCAATCAGCATTTTATTTATACAGAGTGATATCCACAGCAACTTCTTCTCCTGGAAAAAGTTCCCTTGAGATCCTTTATGTCAATCATTGCCTGTCTCTGCTCCAGGGCAACCAATTTATGATGCTACAGTTTGGAAACTGCATATAATTTAGAAACATCAGAGCCCTGGTTATCCTGTCTCAGAAAAGGAATTGTTTGTGACTGATCCTGTTACTAAATATGACACCTTTGAGAGTCAAGTGTGCTGTCATTTGTTTTAACAGTGTCATCCCATGTATACATACGACACATGTTACCCCATCCCTGGGTAATGCACATCTACATGACCTGTTTTTGACTACTTTTAATTAAACTCATAAACTTTTTGAAGTATGAGTTTTTGTAATTGGTGTTTTCAATTCCTTGGACCTGGGAGTAGAATTACTCAATCACAGGACAAATATGTTTAACTTTAAAGAAACTAATTGTCATCTATGATGACTATATCACTTTGTATCTTCTCCAGACATGTTTGAGAGTGCCAGGGGCTCCATGTCTTTGCCAACATTTGGCTTTATGGGTCTTACACCTGGTTATATTGAATAAGTGTATAGTGGTATCTCGCTGCAAGTATTTTCATGGAGTTGAGCTTCTAATTTCCTATCTATCTATCTATCTATCCATCCATCTAACTATCTATATATCTATCTATCTACCTATATATCTATTACACACATTCTCTCTTTCCCTCTTTCTCTTTCCCTCTTTCTCTTTCTTTCT